AATGATATAGTAAAGATAAACTTAACGACCTCGATTCGATTATCGTCAAAGTATGGTAAAGTTATCGTAATGATATAAATTCGATATCGAATCTATATCGTTAGAATTTTTTGAGTTTCTGTAAAGTAAATTAAATAATAAAAATTAATATAAATAAATTATATAAAATAAAATTTTTTAACCTATTTATAATCACTATAATATAGTATTTGTATTGCAAGTAATTATATATAGGTTTTACTATTTATAATTACCATAATATAATATTTATATCGTCAGTGATTATATATAGGTTTCACTATTTATAATCATTATAATATAATATTTATACTGCAGGTAATTATATATAGTTTACTATATATAATCACCCCTATTTATAATCATATAATTTTTGAAAACCAAAAGTGATGATTATAAGCAGATCTGATTATAATAGAAATTACAGAAAGTAGAATAAAATATTAAATATTATATAGTAATAATTAAATTATTCATTATAGATAGTTATATTTATCACATGTAAATTATTTATTAATTATTTATAAATAAGATAGAAATTATATTAAGATAATGTAGATATAGTCTCTGATGAAAAGAATAGCAATAGTAATACTGCATTGATTTTAGGTTATGACATATTTAGTTTTTCGATTTAAGCTATAGTTTATATGACCAAATCAGACAATGAGACTCCAATTTAAAAGAATAAGACAAATTTGGTTTTGTTTTTATTTTGATTTGATTTCATTTCCATGACCATGCTAAGCTTCTTTGAGATAAAATGAAAATTAGTATTAATATTCTGGAACAAAAATATATATAATGCAAAGGAAATTTTGCAATAATTATGCATTTCTTTATATACATGTCAGTTTACTACATAAACTGACAATATAACTATAAATCATTCGATGTATTTCTTATCACAATCTAGCAGGAATTGGATAAGCTCGATAATAGTGTATTACTTAGATGTATAATAGCATGCCATACTGGATTAAAGCATGTATTGATGCAGAAGGAAATCACATAAAATATTAATTAATTAATAAAAATTGCTTCGTTATTATCAGCAAATAATTAAAAAAAATTTGTATTTAAATAATAAAATTTTACATACTGTTTAAAATTGTATCTGCCATTCTTTTTACCAGAAACTGTATTTGCATTTCTTTCAAATTAAAAATAAAAAGAAAAATAATTTAATAAATAAATTTTAAATACAAATAAATAAAAAGCTTTAATTAAAGTAATGAATAATGAGTTATTAAATGATGAGTTATAGAAATAAATAAAGTTATTTTACTTATTTATAAATTAAATATTTAAGAAATAATTACAAAATAAAATAATGAATTACATTATAAAAATTATAAAAAAAATAATAACATAAAAAATAATATTACAAAAAGAAAGTTATAAATATAAAAAAGTTTACAAAGTAATATAAGAAATAATATTACAAAAAGAAAGTTAATAAAAATAATATAAGAAACTTTACAAGAAGAATAATAATAATATAAGAAAGTTTTATCAAAAGAATCTTATAATAAAAGAATATTAATTATAAGAAGAAATAATTATAATCAGAAGAAAAAATAAATTGTAATTTATAATATTAATATAATATATAATAATTAATACTTTGTATTAGAATAAGTATTCTAGATACTCATAAGTATAATTAATATATACACTAGAAATGGAGACAGTATATAAAATCTAAGTGAAAATTTATATGCATAATTTATAAATTATTATTAAATAAAAAAATCAAAATGATTTCTTATATAAATTTACCCTTTTTATATATAATTATATATTTTTAGTAATAATTTATGCATATTTTATGTTATGTAATATATGAATACAAAAAATTAATATGCATATAAATTTTACATACTGAAGCATTACTAAGTTTGAAGTTGTATAATAAAAGTAATCAATTATATATCGATTTAACTTTTGAGCAGATAGAAATCAGGACACTATGAATCCTAATATATATAGTCTTATACTTTTCTTCAGACTAATAAATAGAAGGTTTGTTGACACTAATTCTATTGAAACTATATGAAGTCTGATTAACTTAAACTATACAAATATAAATATCAAATAAAGTTAATATAAAAGAAATAGAAAAAATACAATCGTAGCAGAAATAATAAAAAATAATTAGATAATAATAATATAAGAAGAAATAAAAGAATTAAAAGGTAAATTATTATTTCAAATATAAGAATTAGATTTTTAGCAATTAAATATTAATTTATCCTTTTGATGATGAGTGATAGGAATGATTAAGAAGATACACATTATATTGAAGCTATTAAACTCAAAAATGGCATAAATTTGTAATATAAGGGTTGTAGCAACTATAATGTAGTAAAACTGTATGACTTATATAATATTATCAAGAATTTTATTTGTTAAAGCAAATCTTCCAAACCTTGAAAATTTTCTAAATAAAAAAGATAAATAAAAAATTAACATATTCAGTAATTTACTTAATTATTAAATATTGTATTATTCAACTCTACTTAAATTGTTAATCAGAAAATATTTTATCTGTATAATAAGAGAGTAAGATAATACAATAGTAGATATAGAGTCTTATAAAATCACATTAAATGAATCATTATAGATTTTTTTTTTTAAAAAAAAAATTTCATTATTAGTTATCTTTGATAATACAAATATAAACCAGCTGAATAAGCATCCTGTAATGTAATTAAATAAGTTTAAGTTCATATATATTGAAACATTATACATATTATAATAATCAGTAAAAGTAATATATATTAATATTAATATTTTATTTTATATAAACAATCCGAAATTTTTTTATTTTAAAGATACTTTTTTTTATTTTAATATTTAGTAACTTTAAATGAGCCTTCGAATGAAAAAAAAATTTTGAATTAATATTATTAAAATTTTACATTTATGAACCATTAATTTAATATATATAAGTACTTTTAAATGAACCCGGTAATTATAGTATAAAAATTATAAATGCCGTTTTTGTTTTTATTTAACACGAATCCAGTGGCTCTACGTGATACAAAATAGTAATTATATATTTATTAAATTATAAAATTATATTCAAATTAACTACGAAGGTTCATTCCAGCAAGAATATCCTAATATAAGAGAATAATTATTAAAAACTATTTAAAAAATAATTATTTGATGAAAATAACCATATTATGTACCTGAAATTTATTGATATTACGTAAGAACCAATCTCCGTAACGTCGCCCAACTTTAGATTCAGCAATATGAATCATATCCTAATTTCGACAAAGAGAATTTAACAGATGATAACTAATTTTAAAATTAATAATCAATTATCTACCTGTTTCAAACAAAAGTCCAAATCCGAGGTAGTAACATATTCACCTTCAAGCAAGGTGCCACTAGTCCATTTTTGTTGTCGTGACTTTTGTTTGACAATAAGTAACTGAGTCCTAATATAAATAAAGTATTTAATTAAATTTTGAGGCATTAATATATTTCTTATATTTATAGGAAATAATGTTACCTTAATTCCTCAGCTTCAATTTCAAGAAAAGCTGCTAACTTATCAATCCCCATAGTAGTATATAATCTTAAATACGACCGTAAAGTTGGAATGAGAATTTGATGACGCACCTCGGAAAGGAAAATTTTGGCATGATGATGATGAGGTTCCTAATGTTATTACAATTAGTTTATTGATGATGATGAATCACTAATATAAATAAATAAATAAATAAAATATATACAATAGTTTGCGTTAAAGCATTTGGGTCGTCAAAGTTTGGCCCATTTGGTGAAATAAATTTTGGGCATGCGTATAAGAATAAATCTTCAAATGTTTGCAATCCCTCCTCGCTATAATATTTTAAATTAACATTTATCATACCAAATAGGCAATTAATTATCACGAACTTATATGTATTTACCCTCGTTGCATCTTTGACGAATGATCCCCATATTTTTCTTTTAAGTGAGTATGAATGCTTTCGTCTAAACGAGTTGGACAAAGTGCAATACATATAGCCAATAGTGCATACATTTGGTCACCTTTCTTGTTGATCTATTATTAATAATATAAATGAGAAATCGTGTTGAACTAAATAGGGAAAAGGATGAGGATATATAAATATATGATGAGCGAACCTGATCAAACTGATAAGACCTAGTGTGATACATCTTTGTCCTTGCGATAAAGACGAGAATGTGCGAAAATGCTCTGATTGCATCTGCGTATCTCCTCATCATCATATATGCAAACCCAACATAATAATACGTTGTAACGTGGCATGCGGTAACACGCGCAAATAAGGCCTGTTCATAAATAATATTTTTTTTTTAGAATACATAAACTAATAATGTGTAATAGCCTCCTTAAAACTATACCTTTTTATTTAGTTCAATATTATCCATCATTTTGAGCGCTAATGTATAATCTCCCAATAAACAATGGACACGTAAAAGACCAATAATACTGAAATAACCAAGCATCTTATATAATGGACGTGATCCATATTCTCCCGCGGCTTCACTATATATGCGTTTAATATTAAAAAACAGAGATTTCTCTCAAATAAAAATACATATTGAACTAAATTATCCATTCAACTCACATCATATCACCACCAAGTTTGCTTACGAGCAATTGTTCAGTAATTCTAGATTTTGTGATAAGTGAATATAATACGTTCAACACGCTATAACAACTCCACACCTTATATAAAAACACGAATCAATGTGAACATTTGAAATTTTAAATGAAATATCGTCCACAAAAAAAAATAGTAATAATAATACCTGTATATTTTCTCGCAACAAAGCAATTTCTTCATCAGTTTTGTTCTTGAGACGATTACGATAATTACAAAAAGATTGAAATTGATAAATGAATTCGTCAATAATATCCCAAAGCCACTGATTGGGAAGTTCTAGACTAACAGGTCCATCCGAATCTAAAGAGAATAAGTAAATACCTCAAAGTACTAAAAAATATGAAATTTCGGTTTCTTTACACTTACTCAAAATAAAATTAAAAAGATCACAATAATTCTCATAAGAATGGAATCGATGTTCAATGGTAGGGGAAAGTTTTGAATAAATGTGTCGATAATATAATTCGCGATACAAAGTCAAAAACACTTGGTCTAATAATAATTATGTTAATAATACAATTCGATCGTACGTATGAATAACGGATCACATAGCTAATTACCATCGTTGACCATCGGAGCAATATAATCAGCCTCGGGCCAAGGCGTTTTTGCATAAAATTTTTCCGTTAGACGATTAAAAGAGTTTTCGTATATGCCATGTAATTCGTAGACGTTGTTTTCAAGAATGTTACGATGAAAATATATTATGAAATTTTTAACGACTTCAGGTATTTCTTGAGCGTATTGTTGTTGAAGCATTAATTGAAGTTGCATTTGATCCTGAAGAGCTATGTAATTAATAATAAAAAGTGGATTAACAAATACATTGGTGTTCCTTCGAAATTCGTAGATCAGTTTATACCTCCTTCTTCAAGATCTTCGTCAACACCAGTAAATTCATTAGCCAGTAAATCAATGTCTTCTTCCGCGAGATCAATATCCTCATAGCCTTCTTGATATACCATTTTGAGTCCAAAATCAAAATCGTGAAAATTCTCGAATCGATTTAATTGATCCATCGTAAATTTATTAGCCAATCAGATATTATAAAAAAATTTTTAATTTTGAAAATTTAGTAAAAAAAAAAAAACAATAAATTATAAAATATAAGAGAACAAAATTTTTATTTTATTTCAAAAATCAATTAATAAAATTATTAAGCAGAATTTAAAAAATTCTTGTACTTAATTTTGATATAATATAATTTTTAAATTAAATTAAATCAAATTTTAAAATATATTTTAATTTAACATATTTAATTTCTAAATTTTTAAAAAATATATAAGATTAAGATTCAATTAATCGGGTTTCATAAAAAATATAATTATGATTGAAATTAAATATAAGATTTTAATTAAATAAGATTAATTATAAATTAATATTAAAAATAATAATCATAATTTCAAATTAATTATGATTACAATTATAGTCTAATTTCAATTATATATATTATAAAGATATCATATTATTTAATATTAAAAGTAATTAAAAAAATATAATTAAAAATATTAATAAAAAATATGTTTATTAAAAATACTTAAATTATATTTTAAATAACTTATTATAAATTTATTATAAATATTTATTTGATCTTTAAATAACTTTTATTAGGTAAAATATTTTTATTAAAATTTAAATAGTTTAGATCAATCTGAAAATTTTTCAGATAAATTTAGTTTAGATTATTATATAAGTTAATTTGAAATTTTCAAATTATACAAATAATATCTTCAAATACATAATAATTTATAATTTATTATAAATAATTAGAGTTAGAATAAAATAATTCTATATCATAATATATTATTTTATTTATTTTATATTTTAAGTCTAAACTTTTAAAATATATTAATTTATTACATATTCAAAATTTTATAAAATAAAAATATTTAAACATTTGATGTTTTAATAAACTATTTTCTGATTTTATAATTTTTATATAACTTTAATATTAGTATATTAGCAAAATAGTTTATATATTAAAGATATTAAATTTTTTTAGATAGTTTCTAAGACATAATATTTATAAGATAAAAAATGATATTTCTGTAGATTTATAGAAAAATAATCTTTATTCTTTAGAATCATATATTAAAGCAATTAATCTTATTATCAGTATTTTATTTATGTAATAATATAGTTATACCTAGTGATACCTGACGAAATTACCTTTCTTAATATGACAAAATTGATAAAACTGAAATGACGAAACTAGTTTTTTATTAATGATGAAATTATTTTACTTAATTGCTGAAATTATATTTAACTTAATCTAAATTCCTTGA